CTCTTACAAGGCTAGATTCAGTGCACAAGCATTTACCAACATGAAAAAACTGAGGTTTCTCCACCTCCGCGGAGTAAAGCTCACTGGAGAGTACACAGATTTTCCCAAAAAGTTAATATGGTTGTGCTGGCATTATTTTCCTTTAGAGTCCATACCAGATGACTTTCCTGTGCAACCAAAACTAGTTGCTTTAGACCTGCAGTGGAGCAAACTCAAAATAGTTTGGAAGGATTGCAAGGTATAATAATCTCAACCTAGTTGTTGTTGGTTCTTTCCTTCTGGTCCTACACATATATTATAGTTCACCTTCACTTTATTTTGGTTTAATTTCTGTATCAGAGACCTTCCTTTTGGATTTTAATTTCCATTCTAATTTTGTTTTTGTGTAACAGTTGCATCAGAATTTGAAAATCCTTAATCTCAATGGTTCCTATAGGCTAACAAAATCACCAGACTTTTCAAAATTGCCAAATCTCAAGGAATTGATATTGCAATTTTGTACTAGTTTGTCTGAGGTTCACTCATCCATCGGGGATCTTGGAAGACTTTCTTTGGTAAATCTTCAACACTGCAAAATGCTGAAGGATCTCCCACTGAATTTCTATAAATCGAAGTCTATTGAAACTCTTCTACTTAATGGTTGTTGGAGATTTGAAAAGTTGGCTGAGGGCTTAGGGGACATGGTATCATTGACAATTTTGGAAGCAAATAGGACAGCCATAAGACAAATACCATCTTCCATATTAAAATTGAAGAAACTGGAAGTTTTATCTTTATGTGATGTGGAAGGGTCGCCATCAACAAATCTTTTGCCTCCTTCATTGCAAAGTTTAAGCTCTGTAAGATACTTAGCTCTTGCATACTGCAGTTTAACTGATGATGCATTCCCCAAGGATCTCGGTAGCCTAAGTTCCTTAGTATATTTAAATCTTAACGGCAATGACTTTTGCAGCCTACCAAGCCTCAGTCGTCTTTCACAGCTTCAAGATTTGTCTTTACATAAGTGCATAAATCTTCGTGCAATCCCAGATTTACCAACAAATTTGAAAGTCTTAAAAGCATATGGCTGCATTGCATTGGAAAAAATGCCAGATTTTTCAGAAATGTCAAATATAAGAGAATTGTATCTAAGAAATTCGGGCAAACTCACTGAGATTCCTGGCCTGGATAAGTCATTAAACTCCATGACAAGGATTCATATGGAAAACTGCACTAAACTCACTGCCGATTTTAGAAAGAACATCCTACAGGTCAGTCCTCCTCTCTCTCAAACACACACACACACACATGTTTCTCTTTCTATCACATACAACGCACATGTACACATGCATGCATAAGAATGTATTTCTTATCTACATGGTATAGGGATGGACTTCTTGCGGATATGGTGGCATTTTTCTCCGTGGAAATGATATTCCTGATTGGTTCCACTGTGTCCATGATGATGATATTGTGTATTTCACTGTGCGTCAAAGTGTTGGTCGTAATTTGAAAGGGTTAACTTTGTCCTTCGTTCTCTCTTCAGGCTCATACGGTTGTCGTATTAGCATTAAAAACATGACCGAGGGTACTGAGCTTGACGCCAGGATCATACCCGACTGTCCAAGTTATGGTACTGGTTATTATCTTTGGCAGGGACAGTTATCAAATGACAAGCTCAAATTGCAAGACGGTGATAAAGTCTTGATTGAAATAATAGCAGACAGATATAATTTGGTGAAGAAAACAGGTGTCAGTCTGGTATGGGACAAATTTATGAACGAAAATATGATTGATTACCATCTTTGTGCGTATGAACAACACCCATATCAAAATCAGGTCAATGATGATGACATCATTCATGTCGAAGATGATAATCACATAACAAAATCACCAGACTTTTCAAAATTCCCAAATCTTGAGAAGTTGATATTGAAAGGTTGTAAGGAGTTGATTAAGGTTCACTCATACATTGGGGATCTTGGTAGACTTTCTTTGGTAGATCTTGAAGGCTGCCGAATGCTAAAGGATCTCCCGCTGAATTTCTATAAATCCAAGTCTATTGAAACTCTACTACTTAATGGTTGTTCAAGTTTTGAAGACTTGGCTGATGGCTTAGGGGACATGGTATCATTGACAATTTTGGAAGCAGATGACACAGCCATCAGACAAATTCCATCTTCCATAGTAAAATTGAAGAAGTTGAGAATTTTATCTCTATCTGGTGAGAATTTTGAAATTCCATCTTTTACCCCTTTCGTTACATGGCTTAAACTCTTTAATAGAGTTATGTCTTGCAGGCTGCTGGCGGTTAACTGAGGATGCAATCCCTAAGGATCTATGTAGCCTAATTTCCTTAGAACATCTGCTTCTTGGACGCAGTTTCTTTTGTAGCCTACCAAGTCTCGCTGGTCTTTCAAAGCTCAAGGTCTTGTGTGTAAATGGATGCGAATTTCTTCGTGCAATCCCAGAATTACCAACCAATTTGTATGTTCTGAAAGCAAATGTCTGCCCAAATTTGGAAACAATTCCAGATTTTTCAAAAATGTCGAATATGAGAGAATTGTATCTAAGTGATTCGTTCAAACTCACTGAGGTTCCAGGCTTGGATAAGTCATTAAACGCCATGACAAGGATTCATATGGAAGGCTGCACCAATCTGACTGCCGATTTTAGGAACAACATCCTACAGGTCTCTCTCTCTCTCTCCCTTTCTCCCTCTCTCTCACACACGCACACACAGAGGCACAGCTGCAGATGCGGCCTATGTAATGATATATGCATGCATGTATAAGAATGTCTTGCTTCTGGTGTGCAGAGATGGACTTCTTGCGGATTTGGTGGAGTTTATTTGAATGGAATTTATGATATTCCTGAGTGGTTCAAATTCGTCAATGATGTGGACAATATCGTCTTCTTTGAAGTTCCTCAAAGAATCATGGGTCGTGATTTAAAAGGGTTGACTATATGTTTCGTTTATTCTTCAGACAACCCAGTACTTGATAGCATTTGCATTATCGTTAGAAATCTTACCAAACAAACTGCTTTGCACACCAAGATAGCATTTGCCAGATATGGAAGGCCAGAACCCTATTTGTATTGGTGGAGACAATTGTCAAACGACGAACCTGAAGACGTTTATCTTTGGCAGGGACAATTTTCAAACGATGTGCTCCGTTTGCAAGGCGGGGACCAAGTCTCCATTCTTGTAAGGCCTGATGATGTTCATTTTGTGAGAGTGAAGAAGACAGGGGTTCATCTAGAATGGGACAAAGTCATGAAGGAAAATATGGATGATCCGGATCCTCATTTGTAGGATTTGGAAACAAATCGGGATTTTTCAGGGGGAGTTGATGACGCATTTGTTGTTAAAAGCTGGAGCTTTTCAGATCG